CATGGTCAGGGTGCCGTAGAGTGAGACTTTCAGGGGACTGCGTTTTCACTTTCGGTTTCACTTTTGGGCTTGCGTACAGACCGCTGCCACGCCAGCTGGCTAGGTCGCTCTGTAAGTAAGGCTTTTCCCTATTAAATACCCTTATATTTCCACTTGGCTCCATATTGGTAATTTCCCACTATAACCAAGAACAACTAAATGACCATGATGCATGTCTGGGGATAACTTTTCTGATGGTACCAAAGTCACCTAAGGAGTTTGAGAAGGGCTTTAGTCAAGAACAGCTTTAGCTGGAAAAGACTGGCTGATACTTGGTTTGCTCACACTCAGCAGAATGCACTTGGGTGTCCCTTTAGACATCAGGGAGCATGGGTTCTGCCATCTCAGGTGGCAGCCCTGTCTCTGGAAGAAGAAACTTTGGCATGGCACTATGCCAGCTCTGTCTGCTGCAGGAGGATTGGGAAAGATCTGCCCAGTGTGGGCTGGAATAGCCAGCCCAAGGCTATAGCCCAAGTCAGCCTACAGCAGCCTGGTGTGGCCTGGAGTAGTCTTGCCACTGGGAATAGTTGTGAGGAGAGGGTTGCTTAAATGCAGCCCTGCTCTTCAAGGGCCTGTCTTTCTGTTTTAGGCCAGAGTCTGACATGTTGGTCAGCCTTGTAAGTAAAACTGATTCAATGAAATCATGATTTTTATGTTACAAAGAGAAACAAACGGATGGTTAGTAACCAGTTTAACCTTATCACATACTTTATCACATACCGTGAACCAAAGAAAATCCTTCTCCTTGTTGGTTAGTCACAGGGTCACAAGGCATTGGAGAAAATTTACTCATTGGTTTCAGAAATGTTTCTGAATGCATACTTCATGCTGGTAGCTCTCTAGGCTGTAGGTTGGGCAGGAATACCTGTCATACCTAGATGTGCCTGCCTTCACAGAGCAAAGAACACCTTGGAGCAGTTAACTACCTGAGTAAGGTCTAGGGCCTGGCCTTCCCAAGGTGGGTGTGGTGAGACAGGAGGGTGGGGAGTGGGCTGTAGTGGGATTGACTTTCAAGTAGAGTGAGTGGTCAAGAAGGACCATCAGGCATTGGGGGAGGGTGCAGAAGGGAGTTCAGGAGGAGGACAACAAACACCTACCAATGTGCTCGGGGATACCTAGAAGCTAGAGTTCAAGTTTATAGGAGGAATGAATGTTCGAGGTGCAGCTAGGCCTGCAGGGCCTTGCAGTAACTTGGGTAACCTGGGAAACGGTTAGCTATTTGTACAGAATAGTGACATGATTGAGGACATGCTGGTTCAGAAGTGGGAGAAGTAGCCAGTACACTGATGGGACAGGCCCTAGCAGATGAGAACAAGCCAACTCTTTTGGGTTTTGTTTTGTTTTTGAGACAGGGTTTCTCTGTGGCTTTGGAGGCTGTCCTGGAATTAGCTGTTGTAGACCAGGCTGGTCTCGAACTCACAGAGATCCGCCTGCCTCTGCCTCCCGAGTGCTGGGATTAAAGGCATGCGCCACCAACGCCCAGCAAGCCAACTCTTGATGTGCCTGGAGGGGAGCCAGCAGGATATCTGATGGGTCTCATGAAGAGAGAGGCAGGTGTGACAGACCAAAGCCTCAATTTGGTTTGAACACACAGGGTGACTGCTGAGACAGGGGCGTGTGCAAGGAGGGCAGACTGTTGTGTGAGGTCCTGTGCCTTATCCAGAGACCTCTTGGCAGGAACCTAGCACTATCACTAAATCCTACACAATCCCCAGAACCTTGACAACAAAAATGGAGTGGAGACAGGACATAGCTCTACATCGAGTTAGCCAGTAGGACCAGAAGGTGGCAGCACTGTCTCGATGTTGTAGTATAAATCCCTGTTCTCTGATAGCCACAGCCTGCAGAACTTCCCTTGTGGGTTTTGTTTCAGAAAAACCAATGTTTCATGATTTTGTGGGTTTGTTGTCATTGTTTGGTTAGTTGGTTTGTTTGGGTAGTTGGTTGGTTTTGGTTTGAGTCTTTTGAGACAGAGTCCTAACATGGTGAGAACTTGTCTGTTTTTGCCTCCCAAGTTCTGGGGTCACAGGTATATCCCACCAACTCACCACCCACCTTTCCCTTCCTTCGTCCTTCCCTCTCCCTCTCCCTCTCCCTTTTTTTTTTTTTTTTTTTTTTTTTTTTTTTTTTTTGTGTGTGTGTGTGTGTGTGTGTGTGTGTGTGTTTCTATGCTTGGACTAGAATCCAGGGCATAACACATGACAGGCAAGCATCCTACCACTAAACAATATCCCTCTGTGATTATTACTATTATTTTTTCTGAGACAGGGTTTCTCTGTGGCTTTGGAGGCTGTCCTGGAACTAGCTCTTGTAGACCAGGCTGGTCTGGAACTCACAGAGATCTGCCTGCCTCAGCCGCCCGAGTGCTGGGATTAAAGGTGTAAGCCACCACTGATTTGTGTGTGTGTGTGTGTGTGTGTGTGTGTGTGTGTGTACACAAATCACACATACTGGTAAAGATCATAGAAATTTTTATTTTAAACTATTTCTTGGCTGACAAGATGGCTCAGTGAGTAAAGGCTCTTGCTGCCAAGCCTGCCAACCTGATTCCAATCCCCAGAACTCACATGGTAGAAGTAGAAAACCAGCTACAGCAATTTGTCCCCTGACCTCTCCACAACTGTGCACATGTGCACACACACACACATGCAGATGGTTACGTGCAAGAAGATAAAATAATTCTTTTGGAGCCAGGCATGGTGGTGCACACCTTTAACCTCAGCACTTGAGAGGCACAGGCAGGTAGATCTCTGATTCCTAGGACAGGCGGTCTAAATAGCAAGTTACTTGGGGCTAGAGAGATAGCCCAGCAATTAAGAGCTCTGGCTGCTCTTCCAGAGGAGCTGGGTTCAATTCTCAGTACTCACGTGGTAACTAACAACTGTCAGTAACTCCAATTCCAGGGGAGCTGATGCAAACAAGCCCAGAGACAAATGCAGTGTACATGTTGCTGGCAAAACACTCATACACATTAAATTTTTTAATTACATAGTAAGTTCCAGGCCAGGCAATGCTAGATACCAAGACCCTGTCAAAAACTAAGACAAACAAAGCTTTAGTTTACATTTAATTTGACCATTTATTAACAATGAAAGCTAATTTGCACACTAATGAAATGGATGTGCTTGCTTATTTTCACATAGACAGTTAAATCTTGGCTGACTGACACGCAGAACATGAAGCATCTTCAAGTTTGTTCAAAGCTGGTTGATATTTCAACATCAATGATGAGAAGGCTGCTTTACATAAATATAGTACAAAATGACAGAAGTTTGTTCAGAGCCCTTTCATAAATGTTGTCTTTGGTCTAGAGAGATGACTCTCTAGAGTTTAGAGCAGAAGACCCAGGTTCAATTCCCAGCATCCATGTGGCAGCTCACAACCAACTATAACTGCAGTTCCAGGGAATATGATGCTCTCTTTTGGCCTCCAGGGACACCAGGCACACTTGTGGTACCCAGACATACAGGCAAAACAGACATACATGCAAGCAAAATATTCATATATGTAATATTATAAATATATATAAAGTAAATAAATATAAATACATCTAAAATTATTTTTTAGATTTTTTGCCCTAATCACAAACCAAATTCATTAAATTTTTATGTATGTATGTATGTATGTGAGAGAGAGAGAGAGAGAAGACTTGTATGTATGTACACAGGTAACTTAGAAGCCATAAGAGTGTGTTGGATCTCCTGGAGCTGGATATACAGGCTGTTGTGAACTACCAGTGCTGATGCTGAGAACTGAACCTGGATCCTCTGTAAAAACAAGCATTCTTAACTTCTGAACCATCTTTCTTAGTCCCCATTAATTTTTTAATTACATTTTATTTGGACTGTATATGGGCATGTATATAGAGATCAGAGGATAACTTGTAGGATTTTCTCATTCAGGTTCCAAGGATCTCACTCACATTTTCAGATTGAGGGTAGGTGACTTTACTTATGGACCCATCTTGCCAATGTAATAATTTTTTAAAAAGAAACATAAGTGATCCATCAGACAGTAATTTTTTTTGAGACAGGGTTTCTCTGTGTAACCTTGGCTGTCCTGGAACTCACTCTGCAGGTGGCCCTCGAACCCAGAGATCCTCCTGCCTCAGCCTCCCAAGTGCTAGGACTAAAGGCATGTGCCACCACTGCCTGGCATCAGACAGCAATTTTTTTGTTTTGTTTTGTTTTTCGAGACAGGGTTTCTCTGTATTGCTTTGGAGGCTGTCCTAGAACTTGCTCTGTAGACCAGGCTGGCCTCTAACTCACAGAGATCTGCCTGCCTCTGCCTCCTAAGTGCTGGGACTAAAGGCATGCGCCACCACCATCCGGCCAGACAGCAATTTTTAAAATTAAACGTTCTAACATAATAAAAGACAAAGATCTATAAAGATACATATTAAAGAATGATGGTAGGAAAATATTAAGTCTTTGTTTTCCTTAGGTAACTACTATGTGTGTAGAACAGAAAACTTTGTATGTACTATAAAAAACGTCACAATTCACTGGGCGATGGTGGTGCACACTTTTTTTTTTTAAGATTTTATTTATTTATTTATTTATTATGTATACAACATGCTGCTTCCATGTATATCTGCACACCAGAAGAGCGCGCCAGATCTCATAAAGATGGTTGTGAGCCACCATGTGGTTGCTGGGAATTGAACTCAGGACCTCGGGAAGAGCAGTCAGTGCTCTTAGCCTCTGAGCCATCTCTCCAGCCCGGTGGCACACACCTTTAATCCCAGCACTTGGGAGGCAGAGGCGGGAGGATCTCTGTGAGTTCAAGGTCAGCCAGTCTACAGAGAGAGTGCCAGGACAGCCAGGGCTGTTACACAGAGGAACCCTGTCTCAAAAAAGCAAAAACAAACAAAAAATTACAATTCATGATGGACAGTGGTCTCAAGCCTGAGCCAAGATGTTTGAGGTAGCTGTTCTTCACTCCTGACTCTCTTGTTCCAGGAGCTGCTGCAGGAGTTCGAATCTGAAATTCAGAGAAAGGATCATGAGTTCCAACTGAGGGCTGATGATATGAGCAACGTAGTCTTGACCCATGAGCTCAAGGTAACTGTCCCTGCTGGGCTTTGCAGGCTTTCTGGCCTCCAGATTCCCGCTGTAATCACCCCGTGCTCACTGTTGCCCGCTGTAATCTCCCCCTGCGTGCTGCCAAGCACATTATTCTTCCCACCCAGCTACTCTCCTGGACCTTTTCAATCTCTCAGGTAAAACTGCTAAACAAAGAGCTGCAGGCTCTCAGAGAAGCTGGAGCACAGGCAACAGAGAGTCTGCAGAAGGCAAAAGCAGAGCACATCCAGTTGCAGAGGAAGCTACAGGACCATGCCCTGGAGCTCCAGAGTCTGGAGGCTGTAAAGGATGCTCGGTACGTGGGTTCTCCCCTACAGGCGCTGTGGCCGTCAGGACTAGATCCTGGTGACTCTGCCTTCCTAGCTTATTCCAGCTCTACTCTTTGGTCTCTTAGGTAACTGCTCCTTACTGATATGGTTTTTATTTAGGATAAAAGACTTGGAGAAGAAGCTTCAGTCTGTACAGCTGGCTAGGAAGAGAGCCGAGGAGACCTTCAGGAGGAAGTGAGTATTTGTGCCTGGGTGGATGTCTCTGGAAGAGTCTGGGTCATAGTCGCTGGAGACAAGGGCCCTATGATGGTAGCCTGTGCTCACACACCACTTTGCCTCCAAAATCTACTTCCTCAGAGATGGTTAGACCTTCAACATCTCAAAACTCAAAATGCTTCGAGGGCCAGGACCTCAGTTCGTTGGTAAAACACAAGCTTAGTGTGCCCAAAACTGTGGATTTACTCTCCAGTGCCAAAACAGGCTTTTAAAAAGCACAGCCTTAAAAGTTAGCTTTTATGGGTTAGTGAGATTGCTCTGTGCATAAAGTCACTTGCTACCACAGTGGGTGACCTGAGTTCCCTCTCTGGAACCCCACATGGTTAAAGATGAGAAGGGACTCCACACACATGCCCACCACTAAATAAATCAATACTTAAAAAATTAAAAGTTGACATTTGCAACTTGGATGTTTTATTGACTATAAGTTTTAGATTGTAGTCCCAAACTTTACCATGTTGACACAGTCACCTCTTATTCTCAAGGATGTGGATTCTCTGAGCTCTTTTCCTGCTGACCAGGGTAGGTTGGGACTCAGCCAACAGCAGCAGGTGTTTCACATTGCCAGGTGTCTGGGACACCCAGGAAGTAGATGGCGTGTTGGCTCAAGGTGGGAACTTCAACGGGGCAATTGACGCATTGCCCCTCCCCCAGGCTCCAGTGGGTTTAGGAGGTGCCAGAGCAGCAGAGTGGGGTCGGGGATGACGTGCTCCCAGACAGAAGAAGCTCAGCTCTAGGGTTTCAGCCCCCAGGGTTGACTTTCCCTTCGAAAGGAAACACAGTAACTAAGCTCCTGCTCGCTTAGGCGGCTTGGGAGGATGCTGTGTTGTAGGAGAGAGGATGAGGTGGGGACAAATTCTCTTGGGTTTTCTCACATTGTGATTTGTGCAGTTCAGACAAACGGATAAATTCAGGGAATTTTCAGGAATCTGCTGCTCTGGGAGGCAAGGAGTATCTGTACTCTCCATGGCTGGTCACGAGGCTAGGTGGTGTGTCAAGGGTGCTTTGTGAAGCAGTTCTGGTGTCTGTCTTGTGAGTTGGGGGGGGGCATCCAGGAGCCTGGCATCTAAGAATAGCTGCTTATACAGGAAGAACAAGCTCACCCATATGCTACGTCTGCAAAACTGAGAATAGGTAGGTGCTGCCTGCCGAGTCACCCATCTTGTCAGGGGTACTGTAGTGTAAGAAAGGATGACAAACAGAGCACTGAGTAAGCCATGGTGTGGGACTCTTCCCTGTGTTTCAGGAATGAAGAGCTTGACCGTCAGGCCAGGGAGAAAGACACATTGCTGGCAGCCGTGAAGGGCTCCCATGCAAAGCAGCTGCATGAGCTGGAGGCCAAGATGCTGGAGCTCCAAGCCCACTGTGAAACCCTTGAGGGCCAACTGCGCAAAGCCGAGTGGATTCGAGCTGATGATGCCAAGGAAAAGAATGCTCTCATTGACAAGTGAGCCAGCCATTGCCTCTGACCTGCCCTGCCCAACAGCCCTGTGTGCCTGTGCCCTGGGAAACTGCATGCAGCAGGTGGGAGGGGCTTTCGGGACTTTCCGGCCATTTTCTTTTCTAGCCATTTCTCTTATGTTTTCTTTTTAATTGTGTAGTTGTGGTAAAATATGCATAACAAAGTTTACTTACTATTTTTAGTTTTTGTTTTTCTAAGACAAGGTCTCATTTGGCCAAAGGTGGTCCAGAACTTCTCCATAGCCTTAGATGCCCTTGAGTTTATAACCCTGTGCCTCTACCTCCCAAGTGCTGGGACTGCAAGCATATGCCACTATACCTGGCCCTTTTAACCCCCTTAGACAGGGTTTCGATGTGTAGCCCAGGCTGCCCTCTAACTTATCTTCCTGCCTCACTTCCCAAGTGCTGGGGTTATAGGTGTGTGCCACCATGCCTGGCAAAGTTCACCACTCGGCTGTTTTTAGTGTAAAGGTCAGCGGCGTCAGTACATGATGAATGCCGTCGATTGGTAGACTCTCTCTCTCTCTCTCTCTCTCTCTCTCTCTGTTCCCACTCAGCACTGGCTCCCCTTCCTTCCCCCAGTCTTCTCCCTGCAGCCTCCAAACCACTTTCTCTGTGAATTTGCTAAGTCCAGGAACAGCGCACATTTATAATCTTATGGCACTTGCCCTAATATAACTGGCTTGTCACTGTCACAAAGACTCGAGTCCTCAAGGTTCACTCACATTTATAGACTGCTATTCTCTTAAATCATTGTGATTGTGTCAAAATACACATCTCCAGATGCCCTGGAGGACTCATTGGCCTCAAATGGTTATTGAGCCGCAGGTCCCAGCGTTGACATCTGGCCTATCATGCATATGCCCCACACACAAAACTTCCCCGTTCACACTCCTGCACTGACACACGAAAATGCCATGCATAACACAAGTTAACTATTTTAACGTGGCTGTTGAGTCAGTTTCTTCCTTTTAAGGCTGAAGGATACTCCCAATGCAAATAGGCTGCATTCTGTTTACCCACTCTGCACATATGGGTTGTTTTCACCGTGACCCCACAAGCAATGCTGTTGTAAGCTCAGATGTGCAGATCTCTCTTAGAGACTTTGCTTTCAAGTCTTTTGTGGATATGAACAGAATTGGAATTTCAGGACCATACAGCTCTGGGTCTAACGTTTTGTTTGTTTTTTTTTAAGACATCCTCCCTCTGTAGCCTTGGCTGGCCTGGAAGCCTTTATTCTTTTACCTCAGCCTAGTCAGTGCTGGAATTACAGATGTGCTCCAGTGCACCGGCTCCTTTCCAATGTCTAATGCAGGCCAGAGTGTTTGGGCAACCTGCTCCACTTATGCCTAGTGTCAGGAAACCGTGAGTGCTGGAGAACTGTTGTAATAGCACTGGGCGTTAGCACTGAGCCCCCATCCTGGGTGGTGAGGAAATGATCATGGGGACAGGACACTGTGTTCAGTAGAAACACTAAAGTCATGCCATTTGCTAATATTCCTAGACTTAGCAACTGGATATTTTGGGGATGGGTCTCTCTCTCTCTCTCTCTCTCTCTCTCTCTCTCTCTCTCTCTCTTTCTCTCTTTCTCCACAAATCACTGTCAAATTACATTTCTATCAGGGGAAGAAGTAGTCATAGAATTATGAGGTATCAAGAATTTTTTTGTTGTTTTTGTTTGTTTGTTTGTTTTTCGAGACAGGGTTTCTCTGTATTGTTTTGGAGCCTGTCCTGGAACTCACTCTGTAGATCAGGCTGGCCTCAAACTCACAGAGATCTGCCTGCCTCTGTCTCCCAAGTGCTGGGATTAAAGTGTGACATCAACGCTGGGCAAAGTATCAGGAAATTAAAGCTTATTCTGCATGGACTAGAGAGATGTCTCAGTGGTTAAGAGTGCTGACTGCTCCTCCAGGGGATCCAAGTTCAATCCTCAGCACTCACATGCAGACAAAATCCCCATATACATAAAGAAAAAAATAAAAAGTTTTAAATTGGCTGAGTGACGATGAATCTCTATGAGTTTGAGGCCAGCCTGGTCTACAGAGTGAGTTCCAGGACAGCCAGGGCTACATAGAGAAACCCTGTCTTGAAAAACCACATCAACAAAAAAATAAATTGTACTTTAAAATGCTTGTTCCACATTGCTTTGTTAAGTCTAGCATGCTCTTGTTAGCACAGTCTTGTTTGATCAGTGAGGCAGCCCACCTCAGTGAGCCAGCAATGCTCCAGGCGTGCTCTGGGTGCTGTGGGGGAGTGCCAGTTCATTGCTGAGTTTCCATTCCCTATCAGCATAGTTGCAGGGATGAGACCTCACAGAGCCTGGATGCTTCCTGCCTCCTCTTGAAGGCTTAAACTAAATGTTTTTGTTTTGGTTTTGAGAGAGGGTCTTGCTCTATATAGTCCTGGCTAGCTTAGAACTCATAATCCTCCTGCCTTAGCCTTCCAAGTGCTGGAATTACAATATGCCACACCCAGGTATAACTAGTTTTTAGTTTCTATCTCTAAGTATTTTTTGTTTATTAAGGCTTATTACTCCCCAGGCAGGGCATTATTATGACAATAGAAAACAGGACAGGGTGACATGTGCCTGTAATCTCAGAACTCTAAGGATGAGGCCGGAGGATCTCAAGCTGAAGGTCAGCCCAGGCTACAAACTAAAACCCATCTCAAGAGAGCACGTTCAGAAGTCTAAACTTGAATCTTCCCTCTTACTTCTGGGGAGTCAGTTACCGTCCTCATCTCCATCCCAAGCATGTAGTGGCATTCAGGGTCAGCCTCAGTGTTAAGGTGTTTAGCAGCTTCCCCTCTCAATGGGCTGCTCTAGAACCACTGGTAAACATGTAGGATGAAGATAAAAACAGGTTTAGTGGTGACCTGCCAGCTCCACTTGGAGCTGCCAACGTCTGCTGGTCTTCGTAGGAAGAGTGCAGCCGTCATACTATAAGCATCTAAGCTGGGCCAGGTGTTTGGGAAGTGTGAAGGAGAGGCTACAGTGGACACAGGTCACTGGACCAGGAGTTTCTGTGCTGATGCTGGGAATATTGCTGGCCTGGGAAACAGCTTATGGGGAGAAGTGATGAGGAGTTCACTTCCTCTGGTACCCGATGCCAGCATAGAGTGCCCAAGGTGGCTAAAGATTGATGCCTTCCACGTGCCTGTTTTTAACACTCCCAAAACATGTGTAGAGATGTTTTGTCCTGCACAAGACTGGGTTTGAAACTCCCAACACCTGACTCCTTGATCAAGGGTAGTCTGTGAGGGCAGCTGTTCCCACGGTTTGTCATGCCACACTGGACGGCTCATTAGTACAGAGCTCCAAGAGCTCTGTGCCCAGGGATGTGATCACTGATGCATCCCGGGACAGAAACAGAGTTGAAGAGGAACGGTCTTGCTTGGATGAGTACAGTGCCTTCCCTAAGGAAGGCCACTTGATGCCTCTGTTGTTTGGGGAAACTTACCCGGTCTAGGTGGCTCTTCCAGCAGCATTTTACGGCCAAGCAAATGATGGTCCCTAGAATCTTCTTGTACTTGTCACTGAACTGCGTCAGGTGCTGTGGTGGGCACAGTGAAAGGTGCAAAGATACAACAGCACTTCCTCAATACTCAGTCCCATAGGCTCTGGGTACAGGATCACCTTTCCACCCTGCGTAACTTGGCCCTTTATAGTCAATTAGTTGGCATTTGCGTGGCTGACTACTAGATATTTCTTAAGGAGTAGAACCACGGTCTTAATGTAGGCAATGGTGTGGTTTCTGATGTGGCTTTTCTATGAGGACTGGGCAGCTCTGTGTGTATTCCCCTGAGTTTGTATAGGCACTATAGGCATGTGAAGGAGTATAAGGGAACCAGCTGTTCCACACACTTCTTCCCGTGCAGACTTCACGAAGACGCGGCAGCTTTGAAAGCTGCCTGGGATGCCCAGATCACTCAGATGTCCAAGGAGGCTGTCTCCAAAGACCTTCAGGTTCAGAAGCTACAAGAAGAAGAGGCAAAGCTCAAGGCACAGGTGGCCGGGTTCCAGAAGGACATAGACAGGTACTGTCCCCAATGTCCCTAAGGCAGCAACTGTGCTGGCCTCCTGCAGACAAGAACTGTCACAGGTCTCCAGGATTGGAACTGCAGGAAACAAACTTGGCCCTGCATTTACTGGGGAAGGAATGGTAAAAGAGAAGCAAGCAGACCTTGGTGGCAAAGAGAGCAAACATCTAAGCTGAGAGGGTGTGTCCAGACACTTTGATATGAAGAATCTGTCTTCCTGGAAAAGGGCTAAAGGCTGGTATGGTGCTGAGTGGTAGCCGCCTTCCTCGGCCTTCGACATGCTTGTGCTTTAGATTCCATCCCAGCACTATGCAAGCAGAAGCTGGCAGATTGCCATGAGTTCAAGACCTGCTTGATCCACCTAGCATTCCAGGACAGCCAAGGTCACACAGAGAGACCCTGTCTCAAGAAGTAAAGAAGCAAAATAAATTAAAAAACATGTTCCCTGTTCACTGTAAGAACATATGCTTGAATGAAGATGAGGGTCTATTTTCCATAATGTAATCAGGTCACTCAGACATAAAGACGTTGCCCACATGATGAATCTGGATAGGCATATTCATATGTGCCCTACCCTCATTCTGTGTGACCCAGACCCCTGCAGGTTTGCCACCAGCCCTGACTGCCCCCTTTCCCATCTGCTGGCTGCCCTGGGGTGGGTCTACCGGGACTAAACGTCTGAGTGGAGGCTACCGTGTGGCTTTTGACTCTGACTTCTTTGATTTTATCACTCTGGGGTTAGGATAATGCAGATTCTTTTTGAGGCTCAGTAGTCTTATGATGCCTAAGTCTGTGTCTGCTTCTTTGTGGTGGTGGTGGGGGGGGGATTTGAGACAGGGTTTCTCTGTGGCTTTGGAGGCTGTCCTGGCACTCGCTCTGGAGACCAGGCTGGCCTCGAACTCACAGAGATCCACCTGCCTCTGCCTCCCGAGTGCTGGGATTAAAGGCGTGTGCCACCACTGTCCAGCTAGCTGCTTTATTTTTTTTTTTCCTTCTCTGATATTTTTTCTGTCCATTTTGGTACTTTGTGTCTGCCTGTTCACTTCATCTGGTTGTTGACCCTATTCCTGGTTCCTGTCACCTTACTGCATGTGAGTGGATAGCAAGGGCCCCACTTGCTCGTGACACTGGTCATCTGACAGTCTCCTTTACCCCAGACCAGCCTCACTAGAGGCTTATCAGTTCTATCGACTTGGCGGATCTTTGTGAAGAACTAGTTTTTTGATTTGATTTTTTAAAATTTTTTCTCTGTTCTCAGGTTTACTGCTCTTTTCTCCTATTTCCTTTGTATTTGGTTTGTTGTTTTGACTGATCCTGACAGTGGAGCAGGATGACTAACTCTGAGACATTGCTCCATAATATGTGATTTGTGTTATAAGTTTGTTTCGGACACTGGCGCTATTCAGCTAAAATGCTATCTAAGTCTCCTTGTTTGTGCTTCTCTGGTCAGGAGATGATTTAGAACCCTGTTGCCTAATCTCAGGCGACTTTAGTCCCCGGCACCGTCTGTCGGTGATGCTGACCTGACCCTGCTGTGCATGCAGAGTGCACCTTGCACAATTGATTTCCTCTGCAATCTGTTTCATGACTTTGGAATGTGCTCTACCCTGATGGCTGGCTAAGTAGACCAAGATAGAAAATGCCTTTGTTGCAATATGGGCTTTGAAAACCCTGGTGGACAACAATGTTCCTGTCTCCCATGTCCGTGTGATATGCCTGCCGGTTCTAATCATTTACAGAAAAGTACAAAGACTTCCAACCATGCCTAGGCATGGATCCTTCTCAGCTCTGTCTGCACCCAGATGTAAAGTAATTCGTTGAGTGCATCTGCATTTAGGGTTGTACTAGCTTCTCACTGACCGTGCTGGCTTTGGTACCAGTATAAACAGGCCTGTATGTCGCCTTTTGTCCTCAGACTACTGTCTGACACGGACCCTCGGCTCCTCCGCTCTTCCAGCCTTCCTGTTACAGTGACACACGCTCCAGTTTTGCCTCTCAGGTATCTGTTCACAGGATTCACACAGTCCTGGTTTAGGTTTGACTGCTTTCCTTCCCGGTTTGCACGCCGGCTCTCTCTGCTAAGTGTAGCCACCTCCCCCAAGCACTGTTTTCTACAGCATTTGGTGAATCTTGATACCGGCCCATCATGCCCACCTGTCCACAGGTGCTATTGTTCTTAAGGTCTGCCATAGGACTCCTCTGTCCTCAGCACCAGCTACGCTTGAGGCAGGAAGGACGTGGCAGAGCATCACGTCAGCCCCTCATCCTGCATTCCACCTTTGCCCTTCGTGCTGAAGGCACCTCAGGAGAAAAAGCTAACATGGGGCATTGGACTGTGTCTGCAGGTACAAGCAGCAACTGTCCCTGGCGGTGGAAAGGGAACAGAGCCTGGAGCGTGACCACGTGCAGCTAGGCCTAGACTGGCAGCGCCGTTGCGATGATGTTGAACGAGACCACATCCAGAGATCAGAGGCTTTGATCCGAGGTCTGACCAGGGCCAGAGATCAGGTGTGCTGGGAGCCCTGGGGGTGCAGTATATGCAGTGCTGTGAAGATGGGCTTGGTCCTTGCCACATTTTAACTCAGAAAACACTAAACCTCATATAGCAGTTAATTTACAGCAGTGAGTCACGGTCATGCTGGCATAGTGATGGGGCCCTGTAATCCCAGCTGCTCAGGAAAAGGAGGCAGGAGAATCCCAAGTTCAAGGCCAGTCTGAATACAAATAAGACTCTGCCCTGTCTGCAAATGTATTTATTGTGTAGGCTGTTTTCTCTTAACAGTGGCATGATTTGGGGAACACTGAGATGGTCCTTGCTTGTTGGGATGGCCCCTCTCCAGCCAGGGCAAACTGGGAACCGTAACTGGATAGGAAATTGTCCCCCACCATTGGAGGGTGGCCCAAGCATTCTGAGTGCTACATATATTTTGGATCTTGTGGCTGTTCACTTGCTCCTGCTGTCCACTTTTTAAGCAGGAAGGAGTCTGGTCTCTGTGCCCTAAAGACCAGCACTGCCCACAGATGGACATTTTCCCAGGTGTCTGCCAAGCTCGAGGAGACAGAGAAGGCACTGCACAGGCAGGAGACGTTGCTGAAGGCTGTGTCACTCGAGAGAGACCAGGCTATGGAAACTCTGCGGAGGCACGGGCTCCTCCCTGGACAGGAGGCACAGGTGAGCCCCCTGCTGGATGGAAGAGCCTTCCTTCCACAGCTGCAGAAGAGACACTTTAGCGTCCACTAGGTCGGCTTGGGTTTTCTCAGTCCAACCCTTCTCAATGACAGTTGCTCCAAACCTTTACAGTGTTAAAGTGGGCATGCCAGTATGCAGTCTTCCCTGCTTTTTAGCATTCAAAACTCTAAAACCCTATATCCAAAGGGCACACTTGGCATGCCCAGCCCTGAAGAAAAGCTCAGGCAGGCACTACTTGACACTAGGTGGCAGTATAAAATCACTGTTGAGTCTTTCAAGAAGCTCATTCATTGTTAAATGCTTAGGCTGTGTCACCATCTCCCTAGACTGTGAAATTTGCTAACTCAGTCTCTTAATTTTATTTATTATTATTGTTGGGGAGATCATATGTGTGCCACAGCCAAAAAAAAGAAGAAGGGTCAGAGGGCAACTTTGTGGAATTGGTTCTCTCCTTCCACATTTATGTGGGTTTCAGAGAACTAATTCTGACTACCAGGCATGCTCCTCAAAGTATCTTTTACCTATTGAGCCAATGCACCGGTCCCAACTCACTTCCTTTTAGAGGTGGGTACAGCTGTCATGGAGACAAACCTTCCTAAGCTGTTGCAGTTGTTAGCAGAAGTAAATTCCTAGGCAGAGGGCCTCAGAAGGCCTAGAGGTAGCCATGGACTGGGAGAGGCAGGGTACAGCATTATCCTGGGCCTGCAGTGGTTTTGTTTCCTTTGTTATGTTTTTTAACAAGGTGTACTCACTCCTCGGTATGGTAAAATTAGGGTCCTAGCACCCTGAGTGGTGAGTCTGATGGGTGAGTGTAGCACGGATTCCACCAGCAAGCGTCTCTTTACCTTTGCCTGGATCCTACCTCCCTATTTCTCTCCTATGTCTCCTGCTATCTTGCCATGGAGAACCATGTGGGCAGGATTCCCTCTATTGAATGCCACGTTTTTGTTTTGTTTTGTTTTGTTGTTGTTGTTGTTGTTTTCGAGACAGGGTTTCTCTGTGTAGCTTTGGAGCCTATCCTGGCTCTCACTCTGGAGACCAGGCTGGCCTCGAACTCACAGAGATCTGCCTGCCTCTGCCTCCCAAGTGCTGGGATTAAAGGCGTGTGCCACCAACACCCGGCCCTTGAATGCCATGGTTAAGAATATTTCAAGAGCCAGGCACAGTGGTACCTCCCTTTAATCCCAGCAGAACTCTGTGAGTTTGGGACCATCCCGGGCTACATAGAGAGTTCCAGGCCAACCTGAGTTACATATTGAGCCTCTGTCTCAAACCCCTCCTACCGCCAAAATAAGACTGTTTGAAGCGATGGGGATATAGTTGAATGGGTAGAGTGTGCTTGCTGTACGAGATAAGGACCTGAGTTACACAGGTCATCCAGGGTTGCTCCTCGACTCCCCAAATGATGACACATTGTGCACACATGGGCACACTGGCATATAATACACACACACACACACACACACACACACACACACACACACACACGTTTAAGATTTAGGCAGGTGTGGTGGCACATGCCATGATTTCAGCACTCAGGCAACTGAGGGAAGAACATTGTGAGTTCAAGGCCAGCACAGACTAAATAAGGCTCTCTATCGAAAACAAATTGAAAAAATTTAAGTAGGCAAGGATATAGAGACAGGGCCTTCCTGGTGTGATCAAGATTTGATCCCCAACACCAACAATAAATATAATTCGTCACCGCACACACTGGTCCTCACTGTCTTTCGGTGGAATAAACAGAGCCCGGGGACAGTTTCTTCCCTGTGTTGAATGAGAGAGCACATGACGTCGGGGTGCATCTGTGAGTGTCCCACCTCTGCTCCGTGGGAATTGTCCGGTCACAGGAGACTGGCTGGTTGTTTGTACTCTTGGCTGTGAGCCACAGCCTCAAGAAGGACAGGCACATGAGCAGTGGTGGCTCCTCAGGCCGCTGGAGCCAGAGGAGCAGGAAGGCTTGAGAGGAGAGAGTTAACTAACACAAGGTTCTAGGGTAAAGCTCCTACCTCTTCGATAGCAAGGAAATCAAATGTCTTTTTTTTTTTTTTTTTTCCTTTTGGGTTATTTTTGGTTTTTTTTGAGACAGGGACTCACTATGTAGCTGTGACTGTCTTGCAACTCACAACATAAAGTGTTGAACTCTTTTTTTTTAAGATTTATGCATTTACTATGTATACAGTGTTCTGTCTGCACATACGTTATAGATGGTATGAGCTACCATGTGGTGCTGGGAATTGAACTCGGGACTTCTGGAAGAGCAGTCAGTGCTCTTAACCTCTGAGCCATCTCTCCAGCCCCAAGTGTTGAACTCTTGAGGCCTTGAACTCACAAAGATCCTCTGGCCTCTTCCTCTAAGTGCTGGGATTAATTAATTCCTCTAAATAGCACCACACCTGTCTTGCCTTCATTTTTACAATGCAAAATAGTGTTTCCTATTTTATTGACCTCATCAGTTTGTGGTGCCAATTTTGAATAATTGAATGTGCTATCAAATGTCCCAAGTAACATTCCAGGGTATAGTCATGGGTGTAGCATGGATAATAAAAACCCAGAGACAGATATTGGGGTTCAAGCTGAAGATCAGAAGAGCTAAAGCAGCCAGCCACTAGAAGAGTTCTCACCTCTACCAAGGCTCAGAGCAAAGGGGGGGGGGGCGATCCTGTCCTCGGTATGACTGCAGACTGCAATGCTCTCCACCAAACCTCAGACTGCCTGAGACTGCACTGAGCTCCTGATACAGTTTCTCAAGTGCTGGGATTAAAGGCGTGAGCTCTGTTTCTCTTTTAGAATGATTCATTGTCGTGTCACCCTGGATGGCCTTGAACTCACAGAGATCTGTCTGCCTCTTTCTCCTGAGTGCTGAGATTAAAGGTGTAGGCACCACTGCCTGTCTTCTATGGCTTAGCCCTTAACTAGGTGTGTGACTGACTAGTGGCTTAGCTCTGCACTATCTTCAGGCAGGCTTTATTAGATCATAAACAAAATATCACCACATGTGGGGCCTTTTCATTTTTTGTTGTTGTTGTTTTTCAATATTTATTTATTTAGGATTTTTCATGACAGGGTTTCTCTCTGTAGCTTTGGAACCTGTCATGGAACTTGCTCTGCAGACCAGGCTAGTCTCAAACTCACAGAGATCTGCCTGCCTCTGCCTCCCGAGTGCTGAAATTAAAGGTGTGCACCACCACTGCCTGGCTGTATTTCAGTTTGTACTACATTTATTGTGTGTGTGTGTGCACGTGTGTGTGTGGTGTGTGTGTGTATATGGTGTGTGTGTGTATGGTGTGTGTGTATGGTGTGTGTGTGTGTGTGTGGTGTGTGTGTGTGTATGTGGGGTGTGTGTGGTGTGTGTGTGTGTGTGTGGGTGTGTATGGTGTGTGTGTGTGTGTGGTGTGTGTGTGGTATGTGTGTAGTGTGTGTGTGTACGGTGTGTGTGTATGGTGTGTGTGTGTGTGTGTGGTGTGTGTGTGTGGATGTGTGGTGTGTATGGTGTGTGTGTGTGTGTGTATGGTGTGTGTGTATGGTGTGTGTGTATGTGTGGTGTGTATGGTGTGTGTGTATGGTGTGTGTGTATGGTGTGTGTGTATGGTGTGTGTGTATGGTGTGTGTGTATGGTGTGTGTGTATGGTGTGTGTGTATGTGTGGTGTGTATGGTGTGTGTGTGTGTGTGGTGTGTATGGTGTGTGTGTGTGTGTGTGGTGTGTGTGTGGTTGTTTTGTTTTTTCTCTTTTACTCTTTTTGGCTCTTTGGGGACCTACCACCTAGCTCCCAAAGAAATACATGGAGGCTTTTTCTTTGTTATGAATGCCTGGCCTTAACTTGGCCTATTTCTTGCCAACTTAAGTTATCTCAACTACTTTTTCCTTCTGGGCTTTTATCTTTCTTATTTCTATATATCCTACTTTCCTTCTTACTCCATGGCAGGGTGGCTGGGTGGCTGGCTGGCCCTGACATCCTCCTCTCCTTGCTCTTTCAGTTGCTCTCTTGTTTCTCCTTCTATTTATCCTGCCTGCCAGCCCCACCTGTCCTTTCTCCTGCCTCTCTATTGGCCGTTCAGCTCTTTATTAAACCATCAAGTGTTTTAGACAGGTGAGGAATCACAGCTTCACAGAGTTAGACAAATGCTGCATAAACGAAAGTCACACACCTTAAAATAATATTCTACCACAGTGGCCTTACCCACTGAGCCATCTCATTGTCCTAGAAGCCTCTTTTGTCACCAAATCCTGAGTAAGAGGTTAGAATTCTGTTCGCAGACACATGCCTTCATACATGGTGTCTGAGTAACTTAAGATGCAGAAGATAACGGTTTTCCCTCTATAAAGTCTTGGCCTAGCAACTCAGTGGTGACTGCAGCCAGCACTGATCATGGGATGCCTGTGGGCTGAGCTGCATTTCCCACAGGACTCAGGTTCAAGTCCTGACCCCAAAGCTTCAGAATATGACTCATTGGAGATTGCACCACTGAGAGTGTAGTCAACTAAGATAAGGCCATGCTGGAGAGGGCGGCCCTGACCCCTGCCCCAGCTCCTGCTGTCCTTAGAGGAAAGGACACATAGATGCACAGGATGGCTTGTGATGAGAGTGACCCATGTACAAGCCCAGGAACACCAGAGGCTGACAAGGTCTGCAGTGGGCCCTCTGCACGTGTCTAGGTGAAGCATAGCTTTCCTGATAGCACAGTGTCTCCTCTGCACAACAGGAGAGAATAAATTTGTTTGAGCCGAGTTTATGGACTGCAGTTCCTGAACCTGTAGGAAACTCCTACAGGCCCCATATAGCCAAGCTTGGGCTAGTTCTCTCAAGGGTCTCATTTGGCTCTCCTGATCATGTCCATTTGAAGAAAATTAAGGCTTCACTTAGGGCAACACTTTTCCAGGACTTCTAGGGGGAGTTGTTTGTTTGTTATGTATACAATGTTCTATCTGCTGGCCAGCAGAGGGCGCCAGATCCCATTACAGATGGCTGTGAGCCACCAT